GCTGTACCTTCACCAGTGGACTCCTGGCCTCTCTACAGGGATTCCAACCCTGCATGGTGCCAAGTCTCAGCTACTCTCTCTGACTTCTTCACTTCTTCAAAGCCAGTATCATGTGGGAGACTCTTGCACGTTACCAGGTTCTAATACCAGCTTGAGATATAGCCTTGGCTCCCCACTGGATCACAGCTCATGTGTGCTGACCCTGAGGAAATACTTCTAAGATTTCTCCTCAGCAATGTTGGTCCCTTGTTCACCATGGATGATTTCTCAGTCCCAGCTAATCAACACTGAATGTTTCACTAAAGCAAAGGTTTCACTCTCAGTGGTGCTGTTCTCCTGTTAATCAAAGTTTATTTTTCAGTCTTAGCTGACCAAAAACCAGATCATTATTATTATTTATTTATTTTTGGTTTTTCGAGACAGGGTTTCTCTGTATTGTTTTGGAGGCTGTCCTGGAACTCACTCGGTAGACCAGGCTTGCTTGGTCTTGAACTCACAGAGAGCCACCTGCCTCTGCCTCCCAAGTACTGGGATTAAAGACGTGTGCCACCACCACCCGGCAAAAAACAGATTATTAATTTAAACATATTCCACAAACAGCATGATAGAGTCTTTTCAGGGACTGACTCTCAAACTCCCCTCTGACTGTTAGCAAGTCAGATCATCATATTCTGAATTTCTCTTGGCATTAACTTCCAAGCTCCAAGAGAATAGCCCACTAAGCTTCCTCCCAACAACATGGGCAAGTCTTTTACAGCAATACCCCATGTTCACAATACCAATCTGTTCTAGTTTGCTTTCTGTTGCTGAGATAAAATACTGACTAAAAGTAACTTGTATAGGAACTGGATTATTTGACTTATCATTTCCAATCACAATTCATCATTGAGGAAAATCAAGGCAGAACCCTGGAGGCAGGAACTAATTTAAAGGCTGTCTTTGTTAGGGTTACTGTTGTTGCGATGAAACACCATGACCAAAGCAACTTGGAGAGGAAAGGGTTTATTTGGCTTACACTTCCACATTACAGTTCATCATCAAAGAAAGTCAAGACAGGAGCTCCAACAGGGCAGGAACCGAGAGGTAGGAGCTCATACAGGAAGAGTACTGCCTACTGGCTTGCTTCTCATGGTTTGCTTAGTCTGCCTTCTTATGGAACCCAGGACCATCAGCCCAGGGATTGCACCACCTACAGTGGGCTGGACCATCCCCCACCAATCACTAATTAGAAAATGCCTATAGGCTTGCCTACAGCCAGATATTTTTAAATAAATTTTATTTAAATTAGAAATAATCTTATTTCACATATCAATCCCAGTTCCCTCTCCCTACCATGCCCCCCACCAACCCCTTTTCCTATCCGCCATCCACTCCCCTGTGAGGGTGAGGCCTTCCATGAGGGATCATCAAAATCTGTCAAGTCATTTGGGGTAGGGTCTAGACCCTTCCCCGTGTATCTAGGCTAAGAGAATATCCCTCCATGGGGAATGGGCTCCCGAAGTCCATTCATATACTAGAGACACATTCTGGTTCCACTGCCAGATGCCCCATAGACTTCCCAGTTCCTCCTAACTGACACCCACATTCAGGGGACCTGGTTCGGTCCTATGTTGGTTCCCCAGCTGTCTGACTGAGGTCCATGAGTTCCCACTTTCTCAGGTCAGCTGTTTCTGTGGGTTTCCCCAGCATGGTCTTAACTACTTTGTTCATCACTCCTCCCTCTCTACAACTGGATTCCAGGAGTTTGGCTCAGTGGATCTCTGCTATGGATCTCTGCTTCTGCTTCCGTCAGCTACTGCATGAAGGCTCTAGGATGGCATTTAAGGCAATCATCATTCTCACAGCCAGATATTATGGAGACATTTTCTCAACTGAGGTTCCCTCATCTCAGATGACTTTAGCTTGTGTCAAGTTGACATAAAACTATCCAACGCACAGACAATGAAGGAATTCTGCTTACTGATTTGCTCTCCTTGGAAGGCTCAGCCTACTTTCAAACACAAGTCAGAGGACTATCTGTCCAGTGACAGCACTACCCACAGTGGGCTGGACCTTCCCACATCAACCATTAACCATATAAAATGTCCCACAGACATGCCCACAGGTCACCCTGATTGAAGCAATTCCTTGACATTCCCTCTTCCCAGGTGACCATAGGTTGTGTTGTGTTGAAATGAAACAATCAGTACAGCTTCCCTGGTTGATAGCTATTCTAGATCATCATTTTACAGGTTAAAAAAAAAACTCGTGTATACAAGATCAATGTAATTCCATTTTAACCCTCACAGTATTCTCTCCACATTCTCCTTCACCATTTTTTGGTATGTTTGGTTTGAGATAGGGATCTCACTATATTTCACAGAACCCTCTCACACCAATTCCTGAATAATTGGATCTGTAAGCTTGCAGCATGAACCCAGCTCTTAGAATATCTGTCTTGGAAATTTCCATCCAGTTTTCCAGAGTTGGAAAATTTGCCTAAAGACAGTAGGCTAGTATGTAGCAAGCATTTTTCTGCTGTGGGACCACATGGTTAAGTGAGCTCAGTGACTCCTTCCGAAACAATGCCATTTTAAAACTGTCATCAGTTAGTATTTGGTAGAGTCTTTGTGTTATGGGAAAGGCTAAGAAGAATGTGTGTGGTCCTTGTGCTTTTTAACTGTCAGTTATGATTCAACAGATTAAGAACATCTAAATCATCACACAAAGCAGGAGGGGATCTCAGTTTTAAACATCAAAAATTGCATGAAGTGCTCAAGAATTTGAAGGAAACTGTGCTCATTCCAGACCAATGAGTCAGGCCGTATTTTGTTGGGTCTGTGCACAGGATTTGAGGAAATGGTAGGGGACAGAACAGCAACCAGAAGTAGCAAGTATCTAAGGCTAGGAGTATTGCATTAGGGACATGAATGAAATGAAAGCCCAGCCCTACAGATGAAAGGGGTCATTTGGACTGACCTCCAACAGGCTAAGGCCAGAATCTGGTTACCAGGATAAGAGACCTAACACTGATCCTTCAGTTGTAGGAAAATCACCAAAGTTTGAAAGCGACAGGCTGTGTGGAGGGAATATTTTAGAACGATGTTTTGGGAATTATCATAGTATCAAAACAAGATGCAGTGGAGAACAGAGTGATACCTCGGTAGAATTATCTGTACTGGGAACACATGGCTTAGGAAGCAGATGTTGAGAGGAAATGATTTCTGGAGAGAATAAGGTAGAGTAAGAAAAGAAAGAAGTTGGAGATTAGGTCTGGAGAAGAAATGCATTAGAATCCACAGGAAGAAGGTGAACAAGAGTTCTTGGCGAGAGAGAAACTATTGCCAACCTAGAAGTGAACAACAGTGTCCAGTAAGAGTTTATTATCACTGGGTTATACACATGGACCAGACAACACTGACCCAGTGGTCATCCCAGGAAAGGCCACATGCCTCCAACAACTGATCTCTTTGTTTGGATCTTTAGTCCCTGACTATTCACATCAATCATTTAACACACATATCTGACTACTGTTTAATGTGGACCATGAACCAATACATGCATACTCAAGTCTTATCTGTCTGATGAGGATCCAACTAAGTTACCATGTGCTTTACATGTTGTCCTCTCTCTCCACTGTGCCTGTATACCTCTAGGACTCATTTAGAAGTATTTCTAACTAAACGCAACATGAAAATTCACTGGAGTACACAGGTCAAGACTCAGTGAATCTAAGGAAAGACACAGACAGGGATCCAGTGGTGACTGCTATGTAGAATGTGGTGCCCGAGCCAGTGGTATCAACAGCAGCTACAGACCTGTTACAGATCAGAACCTCAGCTCCCTATCCACATGTAGGGAAACAGACTACGCCTCAACAAGACTCCTGGGTTACTGTTGCCGACACACCATTTGTGTTTAAAAAGAAAACTATAATAAGATCAGTTATAGAAGAGGCCACACTGTGTTACCAAAGAAGTTAGTTGGACCAGGGAGTGCAAGCCAGGTAACCTGAGCACATGCTGCAGTTCAACCTGGCTTCTACTCAGACTCACAGTCAATGATGGAGCCCAGGCTCTTTGGAGATGGGACAAAAGACCAAGTCAAGGGGCAATTCCAGCTGCTGATCACAGCCTAGATGTATCATCCTGCTAAGAACAGCTACTAAATTTATATATGAGGAGCAGTTCACAGATTATGTCTACTTGGCTATTGTTTTTTTCCTGAGATTTTATAAATATCCTACCCTTTTGATGATCACATTTATTCTCTTCACATGCTTGCACAAGTTATGTATTTTTTGAAACAAGGTCATTCATTCATCCTGGAACTCATTCGTCCATTCATCTAGGTTGGCTGGCCTACAGGCTCTGGGATCTGCCTCCCCTGTGCTAGGATTGCACATAGATGCTGTCATACCCATCTTTTCCATGAATGCTAGAACCTGAACTCAGATTACCCATCGAGCCTTCTTCCCAGCCCTTCTTTTGTTATTTCTAACATCTTTATTAGCACATAGTTTACATGCCATAAAATTCATATTCTGCAAGCAAAAGACACTTTCATTATATTCCCTACCGTCAAGCCATGCCTCATTAAAATGTATACATTAATAGAGTTATTTCTTACATCTCTAGGAATGTAGGACTTTGTTATTTTCCCTTGATTTACACATCTGAAAATCTGTTTTTATTAATGGAAAATATACATTGATAAAATTCTGTCTACTCAATTCAAAATGTGGGAGTAATGCCTTTCAATTTCAGAGATGACTGGTTCAAAACACCATGGCAGGCCTTCAAATCGATTTCCTTGAAGGACTGCATCAGGAAGTAAAGTTCATTTACTGGATCCACACTGGAAATACCAAATCCTTACAAACTTCTGCTCCCCCAGATTTTCCTGATCCATTTTTCCACCAGGTGTTACTCTTTATGAAGGCTGAGGGAGCCTGCCAACATCTGTTGTTCTTCACGAATGGGTTGGCATGAAGACTGAGGCTTATGAAGAAATGAACTTACATGCTCTCGCAGAACCTGGTCAGGGTGCTGGGTTTTTCCTGGTTGCGTCTCTGTCGAAACCAGCGTTGAATGCTCCTAACATCCCAGTCCAGCTGCTTGGAGAGCCCTTCCAATCGCTTCTCATCAGGATGCTATGAAACAAGGCACCAGGAAAACCATTCTCATCTGTTTTTTACTTACACCATTTACAAGTTGTATGTTACATACGCCTGGATTTCCCCCTCTATTTTCTACTGCCTACATTTCAAAATTTATGACTGATATTCTAGACCATTCATTCTAGGCATGAACTAAGATAATACCTAGATTACTCATTATGAAACAAGACAAAATCTTGCGTATTTTCTTATCAGGAAATACTGCTTATGAAGTGACCAGGAGAGGATGAACCAGTCAGCTGGCTGAGCCAGTTCCATCAGCCTTCAAGGGAAGAATTTACAGACATCAACAAATAGTTCACCTTCTTGGAGACAAAAAAAAGTACATTCACGTGTCTTCTAAACAGATAATGTAGAAAGAACAAAAAGCACAGAGAATCCTAAGATGTATCAGCGAAGGTGTGGTTTCCAGAACCACACGTATTTAATTCCTCTCTTTCCCTAATCTTCACACCCCTCACCTTTTCTTCCTTTGCCATCCCTTTTATCCACACCACACACCTAGTCTTACTGACACACATATTACCTAGGGGACTCTGTGTGGTGACAGGCACAGGCCCACTTCCTCACCCCACTGGCCTTTCTGAGCCTTGGTCTCTTTATCTGTACAAACGAGGGTGGTTTATCAACTCCCAGGTAACTGTGACAAGGGCTGTGAAAACACATGCTAAACTGAGCTCCTGTGAGCTGTCTTCTTTCTCTCTCTCCTCTCTTCAACAGTCACAAGAGGGGACCTACTATAAACGAAACCGGCCAAGAGAGCCTCATTCCATTATTTATTGTTTACTTTTGTCCTGACGATCAGAGGAAATAACAAAGGAAAGAGAAGACACGCTGGCGGGCCGTAACAGAATGTATATATAGGACCTGAAAGCATTTCAGCAGCTCAACCGTTCTGCGTCCCTGACAATTCATCTGTTAAAAACTCTCATTTGATGGAATCAGAGGCAGACTCCCACAGCTAAACACTGAGCTGAACTTAAGGAACCCAGAGACAGAGAGAGGGAGGACTGGTGAGCAAAGGGCTTAAGACTGGGCTGGTTAAACCCCCAGAAACAGCTGACCTGACAAGGGTGGGGGAGCTTTTGAATCCCAGACTGATGGCTGGGAATCCACCATGGGACTGATCAAGACCCCCTGAATGTGAGTAACAGTGAGGAAGCCTAGGCAATCTATGGGGCTTGGGTAGTAGATCAGTATTTATCCCTGGCATACAAATGGACTTTGGGTGCCCATCCCATAATGAGAGATGCATTCTCACCCTGGACTCTTGGGGGAGGGTGTAGGTCCTGCCGTGGATGAAATGACAGACTATAGGGAAATGAGGGAGTATTGGGGGGGTTGGTAGGAGGGCGTGGGAGGAGGGAAGGGAAAGGGAGAGGGACCTGGGATTGACATGTGAAGCAACCTTGTTTCTAATTTAAATTTAAAAATAAAACTTAAAAAAAAGGATATGAAGACCGCTGACATATACATTAGCAGATAAATTGATAATTAAATTGTGTTTATGTGCAAAATGGAGTATTATTTGACAACAGTGAAATATGATGACAGAAAATATGTCAGCAAATTGTCTGATATATAAAGGATAAAATTAAGCCAGGTCACACAATCTCATTACAAAATGAAAACTTCTCATGTTTTCAGTCATATGTAAATCTTATGCGATAATATCTAGAGGTATATAATCAAGTAAGAATAAGTGTAGCCTCAATATCACATTTAGAAAGGAGACCAATAAAGGAAGTATTAAGAAAAAAAAAACACTCTGATTTGAGTGAGGAGGTGAAGCCTCTGGTGAGAGACTAGGTCTCAGGGGTGGAGCTCTCACTGTGAGGTTTGACTGCTATAGCCACCACTCCCTCCTCCCACCCTCTTCTTTCTCCCCCTCCCTTCCCTCTCCTCCCACACCCCAAGAAATGGGCACTATGGACACCCAGATCTCACACTTCCAGACTGTACAAAACTTTACAAATGTAAAAGCTAAATGTCTGTTGCTTAAGTCCCTGACCTACAGCATTCTACCATGGTGGCCTGAATCAACTAAGACAGACAGACAACTCCTCCCCCAAGCACAGCAAAGGGCATTCAGTTACAAAGTGTTCTGATCTTGTCCCTACAAATGCAACTTGCAAACAGGGCATGTGCCCGAGTTCCTTTCGGTGGTAATAAGAGAATCCACAGTCTCCTTTTATGTCTTTCTTCACTGAAATAAGAGAGAGGCAGGGGGAGCCACTGCCTATAGTGGTTACAGTCTAACTTATAAAAATGAATATCTTTCTTATTATACATATATAATATATAATATATTGTGACTATATTTACCCCCACTACCCTCTACTGTCTTCCTAACTTTGCCTCTGAATTTCTTGTTCCTAACTAGTCCCCCAATGGCTACACCACTGAAGAAAATGATACTGTCTCCAGCAGTGACCACAAACAGGTAAGAACCACTCAGAAAGGAGATGCAGTCTTAGAGACAACAAAAAAATCATTTTTTTATTTCCGAGTTTACTAGTAGTGGGAGAAGAAAGTAAGGTTCACAAATCACAAATTAAAAACCATCTGGTTCTAGCACTGTCCCTGTTACCTCAGTTCCTTTCTTCCTTTGGCAGGACACCACAGCCAACCTTTTTTTGGGGGGGCCAGGGTTATTTTACATAAACAAAACTGAATACATATAATACATATTCATATACCCCACCCAATCACACAAATTATTACAGACAGTGGACTTTGCTCTGGACTTGGGTTTTTCCTCTTTACAATGTATCTTGGATGTGTTCCAAATCAGTTCAGAGAACACCCAAGTGTAAGGCCAAACTCCAACTTCCTAGTCAACCCTGCTAAGGGGGACTTTGGTAACACTCGAGCATCTAAATGTTGCTGTGACATACAATAAGCTTCAAGTGCTGCAGGAAACGGTGGAACTCATTCCTGCAACTAAAAATTGTAGGTCCAAGGGTTCTGTGCTCTTATAATTTTTTACATTGAAGATCTACTAACTTTATTCGTTTAAATGCTCAAAAGAAAGAGCAGTCTTGTCCAAAAGCTCCTTGCATCTTCATTTTTTCCGGTCTCATAAATGAAAACCAGATTCTCGACGTAGTTTTGATTTTCCCTTTGTCATGAGAGAAATAGCTTGTTTTTATGTTTAGACCACTCAGACTTTGCTTTCAGGTGAAGAATAAGCTGAGTACTGCCTAGCTTTACCCCCCTTCAACTTATTAACATTTCCTGAATTTATTCATAGGACTTCTCCATTTGTTAGAGTGATTAAACATTTTTCTCTGTTGTAAAGGGTTTTTGACAGTATATCATTTGTTTTAAAAGTATTTTTAAAGTATTTTTAAGCTATGCAGCTATTGACGAAAAATACATTTGAAATCAACAATCTTCTCTGTAATCACTACTAGAAATTTTGATTCAAAATACCTTTTAATAGTTTCAGGGTGCATTCTGAATGCAGACTGAGATTCTGCAGGAAGCAGGATTCTAACCCTCTACACGGTTACCCAGTATCCTGACAGCACTCTTCCCCTTTCCCAACTGAAACCGCATCCTGCTTTTTCACTGGTCTATTATCCACGTCTCAGCAATTTGTGCTGAACTTTACTCAGAGGTATCTATATTTCTACGTGACAAGAACTCATCTGACAAATATCAGGTTCTTCATATCTAAAATTGAGACAAGACCATATAAACATTTTGGTATTTGTAATAAGATCACACCTATTTCACCGGGTGGTGGTGGCACACGCCTTTAATCCCAGCACATAGGAGATGGAAGCAAGCAGATCTCTGTGAGTTTGAGGCTAGCCTGGTCGACAGAGTGAGTTCCAGGACAGGATCCAAAGTTACACGAAAATCTCTGTCTCAAAAACAAAAAACAAAAAGCACCAATTTCTTAACTTAATTAACATCTTTGTTCGACTTGTCTTTGATGCCCTCCAAGAGAACTTGAATGTTTTCTTCAAGTACTTCTTATACACGGTTGTAACGTATACTTCTGTGATACTATTCTTCTTGAGTTTTATTTTAAATAAATGACATCCTTTCTTATAATCTTTTAACTGTTTGAGCATTTGCATATAAAAAGCTACTCATTTCTGGTAATCTTGCCTTGTAATTCTTTTTGTTTTTGTGTGGTCTTAATTGTCTCAATTTTAAAGGTATACCATAGTACTCTATTACCAGAATACAAGCTCCATAGACGTATAAAATCTTTAGTAGCTCTTTCACTGATACCTATATTGTAAAGATTTATAAACACTTTTTGAATGAATGAATATTTAAATGGAAAATTTTGCTTCTTCCTTTCTAATTTTAATGACTTTTTCTCTTATCTACTTGTTAGCTCAAATTCACATGAGCAACAAGTAAAATTACCATTATTTCCTCCCTCTCCTTTCCTTGTCCTCCCCACCCAACACTTGTCAACAATATTATCTTTCTTAGAGTTTGTTTCTGTACTGTTAATATCCCTCTACAGCTACTGGATTTGCCAGCATTGCTGATCAGCTGCCTCCCAACTATTAAGTGATTGTGCAACCAGTAAACGTCCCACCATCTTTTCCTGCTAACTGGAGTTAGTTATCCTTTTTATACTGTAAGAACATACACTCTTAACATTATGTTCTGACACCATCCCTCACATTTCTTCTTCTCTTGGTTTTACAGTTTAAATATATTCAAAACTCACAAACTTTCCCAGTAATCTTGTATAATCTTCAGGTTAGCTAAAATTAATGACAACGATCTCCTTAAGAAAGAAGAAAATGAGGACAAATTATAGAGAATACAGCTACAATTTTATGTAAGAATTTTTATTGTATATGTGTGTGTGAGAGTGCTTGTTTTCATGTACTTAAACAAGTGCCTGAAGATGCCTACAGAGAGCAGAGGATGCTGGAATCCCCTAGAACTGGAGTTCTAGATGTTTGTGAGCCACTTGACAGGAGTCCTGGGAACCGAACTCTGGTCCTCAAGAAGAACAGCAAGCACTTTGTAACGAGTGGAGAAGGTGGATCAGGATATCCTCACTTGAGATTACAGCCATCATCCCCTCTCCATCTGCAAGGGATCTTGCAAGTGCTCGAGTAAATAGGAAGTAAAAGGTTAATTGAAACTGGGACTCCATTAAGAAGTTTACAGGCAGCTGCTACTGGGATCTGGTGGGACTTTGTGGTGACTACAGCTGTTGGTGTGTCACACACACACTCATGAGGAACACCTATTCTGTGCTCTCTGTAGGATGTCCCATAAAACCACTGGTCTCACCCAACCGAGTTTTGGTGAAATTGTACTTCTGTTGGATACTGGTGTCCATCTGATGTCTATAGGGTGTTTTTGTGTCTCCCCAGGAAAAGGTAATTCAGCACTATGGAACACTGCTTCATAAGTGCTATATATTTTTACCCTCATTGCTTGAAAACCAATGTTATTAGGAAAGTGAGGTAGCTGGTTTCATAGGTATGACAAGAAAATCCCCCCATATTAAAAATGTAGTCAAATAACTGGATGAAACCAGTCAAAAGATAGGCACTCCAAAATATTCATCTGCAAGAAATAGTCATTCAGTGTATTTAAAAGGTTTCAGCAATCAGTAACTGTGGTTCTTTGGCTCCACCCCCAAACTCCAGAATCAGAAGCTCTCAAAACACAGCACAGCAGAAGCACTTTACCCCTCACATGAGCGAGGCAGGGAAAATGCGGAAACACTGGCTGAAACAGATGCCGCACCATTTACTAAATGCTGTGTGTGTGTGTGTGTGTGTGTGTGTGTGTGTGTGTGTGTTGTTTTAGTCTACCCCCATGAAGGCCTGTGAGTATGTTATGTGAAGATTTCTGAGGCCTCCCAAAAGTTAAGAAACTTGCTGATGGCCAAACTCTAGTAAGGAAACAGGCATATACCAAGGATCCTAAATATTTACTAATGGTGACAGGTTCTTTATAGTGTTTAGAATGAGATAGTTTTCCCTGTAGGGAAGGGAAATGAGGGCCAGAAAAAAAAGACAGACATTACCCTAAGAGAAGAAACTGAAGAAGAATATAATGACTCATACCATCCATCTGGTGACATCAGAGGTAAGAGTCATAGAAGATGACCAGTGCAGTCCCATAGAGCAGGGGCCACATTCAGAAGGGAGTTTAGTGTTGTAAGGCTTATATCTTAAAATTCTACATCTCTCTTTAATGTACTGTAATATAATGTGTTCTCGCAAGTGAAACCTAACGGGGCAAAGGAGCATGCTACGGACACAAAAGAGTCTGGCCTCATATAGAGGCTTACTCCCAAATGGGCATTCATTGCCTCTTTCCCATCTCCTGTCTCCCAGGATCCTCCTAAGTCCTCTCCTCTGTCCATATCTACTTATAGCTACTGCCTTAGGTTTCCCCCGGAAGGCTTTGGAAACAAGCAAGGACATCATGTGAGATAGGATTTGTTTCTCTCTGAGGTTTCTTGCTATGGGGTGGGGCAGCCACCTCTGTGCTTCATGGGTGACTCAGCTAAGGTGAGCCTCTGACCTACTTGCAATCTTGTAGCAGGGGCTGTGATGCCCTTGGGGGTCACCTATCCATCATGGATTGGGGCAATGGCCTTGTAGATAGGAGAGAGGCCGGTCTGAACTTTGTCCCAGCATAGCTGGAGCAAAGGGGAATATGGCAGCCAGCATGTTTGTATGTATTATGACACACAGTATCCCCAGGCATTTCTGAGGTTCTGAACTTGTGCCACCAACACCCCCCAACATGCAGACATTACAGAACAAACCAAACACAGCTTAACAGGGCTGGGGATGGAGCTCTCACATTTATAATGCCCTGGATTTGATCTTCAGTGTTGTAAGAAAAAAAAAAGAGACTAATGAGAGATATTTCACTTTAGTAAGGTAAACTACATGGGAATGTGAGGTTCTTTTGTAAATATTTACTTCCTCTAAAACAGGGTATGTGTCCCACAAGGCTGAACTTAGCAGTCTAATGTCACCCCTCTAAACTACCAAAAGAGCTTTCCCTAAAATTCCAGTCATTCTTTTCCTACTCCTTACAGATATGTTTAAAAGAATACCTAATCTTTCCTCACATTTTTCAGGACGGAGAAAACTCCTGTAGACTTTTGGCAGGAATGAAGGCGGCAAGACAAACCAAAGTATTTGGATATTTAAATTAACAGCGGCAAGACATGAGACTGAGTACTAATGGCTACCACCACAGACCAAAAAGGAACAGCACTTACTTAACACTGCCAAATCACACATTATACACCTGTCTCATTCTTCCAGAAAACTGAAAGGGGTCAAAGGAACCATTTGATATAGACACACACAGAATACCACATCCGTCCTGTCTTACACTTTCTTATCTGGCCAAGGGTGAGGGGAGATAAGTAGGGACCTTAGGAACTGAGATGAAGGACTCCATGTTAGCTTGTTTCTTTTTGAGAAGCCTTCAGTTTGAGTGTCTCTCATGTTTCTCTTCCTCTTCTTCGTGCTTAAATATGTGCCGATCCCTTGCCTCTCCCTCCCTCTCTGTTCTCTTCACCTCGCTCTTAGACTTAGGTTTAATTCCCTCGATACTGAGCATTTTAACCCCTTCATTTGTTCTGCGCTGTCACCTATCTCTTCTATCCCACCTCTGCGGACCAAGTTCCTTCTTCATTCCTTCCCACAGCAAGTCTTCACAGCTGTTCACGTCTGTCTATCGCAACGCCCACAATGCATGGGTGGCACTCGCTATAATCCAAGAGGTCCCGTTTCTCACACATGTATAGGCCACACTGTAAGCTCTGCCTGATCACTCCCTTCCAGCTCTTATCTGCACGCTTCATGTCACCTGAGACTGAAAAAGGCACTGGATTGGACTAACCCGCTATCTAAAGACCTTTGCACAGAAAGCTTGTAAAATCAGCTAGAGTCAACCAAGAGGCCACAAATGTCCTTTATCTACTGTTTACAGTTTGTGTCCGATCACAGCACCTACCTTCTCTCTTAGCACCCACTGTCCGATAGGAGGAAAGGTTAATTGTCAGAACCCAGGAGAGAAGGGATGGACTAGCTGCAGGTTGTATGGTGGTGGATCCTACCTTTGTTATAGCAGTGAAGACCTTTTCCAGAATGGCGTTTGGCTGGGCAATTTGTGGTCCACTGGCCTGGATGTTGAGGGCTATGGCACATGGTTTGGCTATGAACCTAAAGGTTTAAAAAAAGAGAGAGAGGAAAATAATTCAGAAATCATACTTTTTATAACTGCTCTTAGTAGCATCATTTATACGTGACTAGGTTATCCTAGTTAGATGCTTGCAGGGTTATCCTAGTTAGATTCTTGCAGAGTTTTATAGCAATATTCGCATGGGTAAATTACAAGGCAAACCTTACTTGAGGTCCCCAGCAGTCACATTAAAAAGAGAAATTCTCTAAGAATATTTAAATGCCTTGGCTGAGTATGGAGGCACATGCCTTTAATCCCAGTACTTGGGAGGCAGGAAGATCTCCGCAAACATAAGGCCAACCTGGTCTATGTAGTGAGTTTTAGGAAAGCAAGAGTTATGTAGAGAGACCCTTTCTCAAAACAAAATAAACAAACAAAAAACCAACAAAACAGAAGAACATCTAAACTCTAGTGAGATTCCTTACACCATAAGAAAGAAACGGAAAACAGCAGCACTGGATGGAATCACAAGTGTACAAGTGAGATCTATACATACATGGCATAATTTACATTCTTCTTACAAACAGGTGCAGTCATGTCAGGATTGAATGTGCTACTGTGCATCTGAGTTCACACGTGCTTTTCGCCACTCTGGTGATAGTCATTTTGCTTGCATAATCAATGTATGCAGTACTGAACCCCAATCTCTTTCAGTTTTGTAATTTCTGCTTTGTGGGTCACCATCCCCACCCTCTACCCCACTTCTTTCTCCTAGGATTCATTGAGGAATGTTAAATGGCCCACCATCCCAGACAAGTTAAAAACTGAAGTGTTTAAAGGCATGAGCCTGACTGTTTTTATCCTAAGCTGATGCCTATGCCAACATGAATGGGATGGAAGAGCCTCTTCTCCCACATCTGACGTACACATGAGGCTCGGAGAGAGATGTGTAGTGCACAGGGCCCAGGCAGGATGGTGACATGTCTAGAGAAACTGCATGGAGCAAAAAGTCTTTACACCTTCAAGATGTTTTAGACTAACTATTCAAGAAAAAAGTTTCTACAATACTTCAGTGGTGATTCTGAGTGTCTGCCACAATTTAATATCATATGTGAGTATTACTAAGATAATTCAAAAGTTGCCAAGGGCAACAACCAATAAATGCATAAAACAGAGCAGCAGTGAACCTTAGATGAGGCTTATTTAGCATAACTCTACAAGATTAAAGAACAGTAGACACAGAAGGGAGAGCAGTATGAGAAACTGTTGAACTGGAACCTAGTTCACCCAAAATGGAAAACAAGAATACTACATGTTGTAAGCCCGAGCCAGGAGAGATGCACACAAAATGTGCACTATCATGATTGTTACACTAGGGTCTCTTGGAACCAAGTGGAAGCGAATTCCTACCTTTTCTTAATCTATAAGCCTCTGAGAAACTGGACTACTCCAGAACCTTGCACTCTTGGTTCCTTCCAGTGTGAACCTTTCTGAGACACCTTAGTAATGCCTTTCTCCTTTCCTAATAATTCTAGGTCTTCTCAGTAACCACATAGCAACATCTGAAGCTCCAATTGGAAAGGGCACATCACTTAATGGGCAGTGACTACAGCTGATTCCAGAACTTATTTCTCCAACCAAGTTTTCCACTTGCTGGCCACTCTCACAAAGCCTAGAAGATGTGAAAAGACGTCCATGCTGTAGGGAAAAAAATGGGCTAAAAGGGCCAACCTAACATGTAAAAGCTGGACCTCACTCTCCTGTGATGGCTTCCACTCTTCCTCACTGGATTTCTCCTTCCCCTCTTCATTTCCCCTACCTCTACAACTTCTGACTCACTCTTTAAACTCCCTTGGGATTCTGCGCCTACCATCTCTGTAACAAACAAACTGCCAGGTAAATACAAGGCATGATCACTTACCTCCTCTTTGTATATCTCAAGCATGGGATGGGATTCCTTTCCCAGGTCAATGTAATAACTAGCTGGCCACATCAACCCTAGCCAGAGTAAACCCCAAATTCTAAGTATCCAGGGGAAGTATATTAGAGGAATGAAAGATTAGTTAAGAGAATTTAACTCACTGGAAAGTGTGAAGCCATTTAAAATGTAAATGGCCCATGGTGAGAGTAGACATACACAGTCAATCAAACCACATGAATTTTTTTCAAGAAGTTACTGTGCCATAGGATGGTCTTATTTATATGAAGGGAATTCTGTCAGCATTCAGTGAGTATTTGATAGATAAATGGATGTGTGACCATGTCCAAAGGGCTGCATGTTTTTAATTCCATTGAAATCACATCATTTTTAGGTCATCCCATACTCCGGTACTAGAAGCCATTTCCCAATTCTCAAAGTCCCTGTGACATCAACATTTCCCTCAAAAAGCATTTGGATAGGCTCATGCAATTCCTAAATTTGTTTGTTTCTTATCAACAACTTGACGAGTAGAGAAAAGCAAATACTTAAATTTCAAGACAGAACATTGCAAGAAAAGCTAATCCCAAATCCTCAACACAAGGAAGAAGAGCAGTTAACTTTATTCCTCATAGGTATCCCTGGTGACAGGATGATATAGAAATTTCATTTGTGTTTATTCTCTGAAGAATTTGTGAATCATCTCCAGTATTTTTTTCAGAGAACATATTAAATCTCAAATAAAGCCCACGTCACAGCTACACAATTTTATTACTTTCTGCCATAGTCCATTAGAGGAAAAAATGTTGTTTCTAATGATAGACCAAAGAAAAGTAAGTGCAGTGCGCAGACACTTTCACAGTGGTGGCTGGGATGGAAGGAGAAGGAAATGGAGAGGAAGGAAGGGAGGGAGGGAGGGAGGGAGGGAGGCAGGGAGGCAGGGAGGCAGGGAGGGAGGGAGGGAGGGAGGGAGGGAGGCAGGGAGGCAGGGAGGCAGGGAGGGAGGGAAGCAGAGAGGGAGGGGGAGGGGGGGACACTTGGATGGCAATGGGTACCACAGCAGTGGAAGGAGCCCATGCTCCCAAGCCCTGATTAGTACCTCCACCAGGAAGTGCTCACCTAACTTCTTTTATCAACAGCTGAAACAACACCTTCAAAAGACCAAACATCTATAAAATACTTCCATGCACTATAGCTGAAAGTAAATAGAATAAGGATGTAAGCTTTGAAAAATACTGGTCTTGGCTAAAGAGCTGGGAAAATATTTTTCAATGCATTTGAAAATGTATTTGCATTTTAAGAATGAATTAATCATCCCAGAACACTAGTAAAGGAAGCATGAGCAGCACCTTGGTGAAGAGAATACATAAAACATGAAAGTGATCCCAGCCCCTAAGAGAGATATGCATGGTACTCCAGAGAAGGGGAACAGGACAGAATCTCCTGAGGGGATTGGGAGCACGTGGCGGGGGTTGGGGGGAAAGCTGGGAGAAAGAGAGGGAGGGAAGAGGAGGGAAGAGCAGAAGGGTTGAGTCAGGGGAAGAATAGAGGAGAGCAGGATGAGAGATACCACAATAGAAGGAGCCATTATAGGTTTGAAGAGAGATCTGGCACTAGTGAGATGTCCAGATATCTACAAGGATGACACCAACTGGCAATCTAACCAATAGTGGAGAGGCTACCTTAAATGCTCTTCCCTGATAATGTGACTGACGACTTCCTTGTGTGCATCCTAGAGCCTTCATCCAGTGGCTGAAGGAAGCAGAGGCAGACACCCACAGCTAAACACTGAAATAAACTCGTGGAAATCAGTTGCAGAGAGGGAGGAATGATGAGCAAAGGGGTCAAGACTGGGCGGGTAAAACTCACAGAAACAGCTGACCTGAACAAGGGGGAGCTCATGAGAGCCCCAGACTGATAGCTGAGAGGACAGCATGGGACTAATCCAGACCCCCTGAACATGGGTGTCAGTGAGGAGGCCTTGACAATAGTCGGTCATATCATCCAGGGCAGGGCCTAGGCCCTCCCCCATGTGTCCAGGCTGAGATAGCATCCCTCCACATGGAAAGGGCTCCCAAAGTCCATCTGGATGCTGACTTTGGAGATCCCCCATGAAGGGCCTCACCCTCCCTGAAGAGTGGAGTGGGGATTGGGTAGGGGATTGGAGCGGGTTGAAGGGGAGCAAGGTAGTAGGAGGAGGGGAGGAGGGGAGGGAGAGGGAATTGGATTGGCATGTGAAGCAAGCTTGTTTCTAATTTAAATAAAAAAGAATAAAAAATTTAAAAAGAAGTTCTTAAATGAAGACACGAGCACAAGGAGCTAAGGAAAAACAAGAAAAAAAAGTGATCACTGCATGAAAAGATATTTATGATTGAAAGACACACAGGATTTATGACATTGCTCTAATTACTTTAAACACTTAATTATTTTCAGTGGGTTGCATAACCGGAAACTGTGATAGTAGATGTGGAACTATCTACATGTTGGTAAAATTGAATGGATCTCTCCCTCCCTCTCTCTTTCTCTCTCTCTCTCTCTCTCTCTCTCTCTCTCTCTCTCTCTCTCGCACGCGCGCACACACACACACACACACACACACACACACACACACACTGGAGAATTCTCAATGAAACCATTAAATTGTACTAGTATTTGCTATCCTGATGTGACATTGTATGCTGTTTTATCAAATGCTATCGTTGTGACTAAGTATGTACGTGTTTGTGAGATCTGGCTATACTAATGGTCTTAGTTATGGTTTCTGTGATGAAAAGAGCCTTGGGGATTAAAGGGTCTACTTCAGCTTACAATTCTCAGGTCCCACTCCATCACTGAGGGAAGTCAACTCAGGAACCTGGAGACAGGAACTGATGCAGGGGCTGTGGAAGAACCCTGCTCAGTGGGATTGCTTCTCGTGGCTTGATTAGCCTACTTCCTATATACCCCATGAGTGACACTCTCCACAGGGAGCCAGGCCCTCCCACATCAATCATTAATCAAGTAAATCCCTAAAGACTTGCCTACAGGCCAACCATATTAAGGGATTGTCTCAGTTAAGATTTCCTGCTTCCCAGCTGTGTCATGGTTTACCTTAAGTTGACGAAAATCAATCTGCACACTAAT